TGAATAATTTAAAGCAGTAATTTAAATTAATTTGTTTTGTCACTGAAACAGGCTACAAGCATTCACCAGGGAATGAGAACACCTTCTCAAATTGCCCCTCTAGATCCACTAATGGATATCCAACTGCATGTTCATCAAGGCTCTTCCACTCCTGGCAAATTACCTCTTCCAAAGCCAAGAACTTTGGCTGTTGGATTCTTTTCATATCACTTCTCTAGAAGTTCTAATTCATCTTAAATTAATTTCATCCTTAATGCAGCCAAATAACTAAATTACTTCCTTTCACAGACTTTGCCAAATGGTCTTCCAAAGCACACAAATACTCTCTGAATTATAGATAAGGCCACTTAGCAAACAATACATTTCAGCACAATACAAATGCATACCCAAAGGATCATTATTGTAATTGAACACACCAGTTGTGATTAAAAAATTGTATCTTCATAGAATAGTTTTGAAGATAGCAACAAATGAGCAAAACAAAATGTTGACAAAAGACAATATTTTTCCCCCCTGTTTACATGGAGAAAGGAATTTGAGTAAAGAATGTTTTGCCTCTTCCTCTGTAGAATAACACCAGGAAATCTGTGTGGCAGGATCGTTGTGATCTTTTTCAGTTTGTTTCCTCCATAAATATTTCCTCCCATAGAAGGTAAGTGGGAGAAAGAACAAGTTGGAATAACTCCCTCAAGCATCCTCTGAAGAGAAGTGCTACTTGTTTTTAGGGGTTGGGTTTCTTGGTTTTTTTTACTTTTTAAGTTCAATGCATAAGTGAGAAAACCAAGCAGATTTACTGAGCAGTCTGTGCCCTCAGGGAAACACAGATCTGCATGACCTACTCAGTGACTTCCAGGCTTTGTCAGCAGGGCTGAAAAGTCATGGTTCTCTGATCATTGTCTTAAAAATACTAAACTGGATAAAGTGAAGATTTACTTACAAAAATAAAAATGAAATGCCTGAAATGGCAGAAGTATTTGCTTTTCTTTTATATATTGCCCTATATAGTGAGACTGCATGGTATACATGAAGAAATATTATATTTCTAGGTCTCTGGCTGGATATTCTGTCTCCATATATATGTGGCTGTGTTTGAATACTTATTGCACTGATTTACTGGATTGCTACAGAAATCCTGTCAGGTTCTCAGTTACGAACACTTCTCAGGTCCACACTCAGGTGACTGCTTTGAATATAGGCCTGAGATTTCCTTTAGCCAGTTTAGAGATGTTTAATTCACAGCAGAGAACCTAAATAGAGTTTAGAAATGCCTCACTCTCAGGGATACAGCTGACATCTTGCTGGTTTTCCCTGGAAGAGTTCAGCCTGCTGCTCTCCAGTGACATTATTTTAAGCTGATTTAGCTCTTCTCCTCCATTCATGAAGGAAGAGATGTGCCTAATCTTGGAGCAAAAACCCCTGCTAGCTGGCAGGGTGCCTGTAAGTGAGGGGTGGTGCTAGCCAGAAATGTGCTCTCTGCAGATTTAGCCCTGCACTACTTCCATATAGAGCTGATCTCCTCCAACATTAACTGATCAAATTGTAGTTAATTAAAATTGGCTCTCACTTAACATTCTTTAAGGTCATTCTAAGTTAAGAGGATGCAGGTACAAATAACAACCAGCCCTATTCAGGAAAGAGGTGATTTCCACTGAAAACATAGTTAAATAACTATTATCTACACCCAACATGTTTTCTTCTTTCTGTGCAGTAAATATTCTACATTTTTACTTATGTGTATTTATTCTGTCACTCTAGCAAAAGAATACTGTTGTTATTTTGATACTCTTGGGTACAATACGTTCTTTTAAGAGAAGAAAAATTACTTGTTCGATAGAACAAAATTCAAAATTTTATTTGAAAATGGCTGTATTTGAAGTAGCTTAAAGTCTAGAATATGTTTTAGATACGCAAATGTTTTATACTTGACATCATAATTTCCAGCTGAAAGAAACACTGTTATTGTGCGAAGGTCAAACACAATCAGTGCCACACTTAAATTTCTCCAAATAACTTGGAAAATTCTGTGCATCAGAAGCCTATCTGCACTTCTAATTGCCTTTCACATTATGCACTTGAAATTATTTTAACTTGTGAATAGCTTGAATTGTTCTGGCACCTGAGCTGATCTCAAAATTCCTAGACTCTGGTAATATAATCAGGTGTATCCATCACAATCTTATCCATTTAAATTATGATGGATATTTAAATGGAAAAAATGGCAAATGTGATGGCCATTTAAATGAAAAAGAAAATTAGTTTAACAGTGTTCTTTGGAGCTTATCTTTCTTTTAATAAAAGACCTTTTGAGGGTGCAAAGACATTCAGTAGGGTCCCTTGAAGCAGTAAAAGCCCAAGCTGTAAATATCTACCCCTTTTACTTCTCTTATAAGAAAAAACATGCCAGCATGGTGCTCTGCTTATGTCTGACAAGCACTCTGATGGCAGAATTAGTTTCTGGAAGGCAAATACCTTCTTGAAATATTTCTTGGCATGTTTGTCTGATCAGTAATTACATACCTGCCGATAACAGGAGGAAATGTTTTGCTGTGTCTGAAGATAGCTGAGGTCTCAAATTCTTACAGGTTCCATAATCATTTCCTTCCTGTACTTGACTCCATTCCATTCCAAACCAAGGTTTTTAGCAATGAAAGGACATGTCAGCTTCTGGACAAATGCCACCTGACTGTGTATGGCATAATCTCATCAATGGAACAGAATGATGGGTATTTGGTCAGTCATTGAACCACTGATTATGCAATGCCAAATATGAGATTTTTCAGCTCATTTTAATTCCTCAGAAACACCCTAGCTAAAAAGCAGCCCAGCATAAAAACTTCTTCCCAGACTGTGTTTCTAGTTTTTAAAAAATTATAGTAATTCAGACCATTCGGGTTTTTTCCTCAGCACTAAAGATAGGACATAATATCCAGCCTAATATTTAGTACAGATAACTCTGAGTATTTTATGTTCTTTTTCCTGCTCTTTTCCTAGAATGTAATAAAAGTTTGGGGCCGCTGCTTAGTGTGTAATTTAGACTCCTAAAAAAGTGCTTTGTTTTCCATAATACCAACCCTCTGAAGGTTCTTAGTGTACTCCTGTGCATCAGCTTTCTCTGCCAGCTCCTCTGTGTCTCTCTTCTCCAGGAATGCATCTTTTCAAGCATTTGTGTTTTCATATCTTCTTTTTAATCTCCTGTGCTTTGGTCGTAAAAGTACAACAACATTGCCATTTTCACCAAACACTTTGGGAGTCACAGGCAAAGAAAATACGAGTGGAAAGGATGAATCCCCAGCTGGTGATTTTTTTCTTTCTGCTTTCTGGCAGAAAATCATTTTACTCAAACTGAGCAAATGGCTGCTTACACAAGAGGGTTCATGAGCAGACTTCTTAAAAACAGTACTATTTGCCAAATGTGTCAAAAATAATTTTCTGTTCATCTAATTTCTGCTTGAGTTTTTTTCTAGATGGCCTACCAAAAAATCCCCAAACAATCAAATAAAAACCCACAAACTAACCTCTTTTCTTCTGTTTTGGGGCTGAGGGGCAGAGATCTCAGGGATTTTTTTCAGCATTGGACAGAAGGCAAGCAGGTTGGCACTTAAGAAGGTTGGTGTTAAGGGTGGGATTCCAGAAGCAGCCAGTACTGGCCTAATGTATTTGTGTGTGAAAAAAAATTCAATTATTGAATTATGGCAAAATATCAAGGTCTTTTCTGGAAATCTCTGGTTTTTTATTCATATGCCATTACTTTTTTTCTTTCAGTCATGAAGGACATGACCTGGTACCCTTAGCCCCCCCAACACATTCCTCTTATGGAGGCAGCAGACCCTCAGGTGAGTTTAAGAGAGTGGTTTTCTGGCCACAAAATATAGGTCTTTAAATAACATCCTTAGATGAATCCTCAGCACAGTTAGGTTCTTGTATTTCTGGATATTGTTGATAAATAGGATGGACACTGCACACACCTGGCCTTTGGGAGAGGTGGCACAGCTTTCAACTGTCAGATGCTTTGGTCAGAGGATAAAGTTGGTGTAAATATCTACCTGTTTTCTCATCTGTGCTACATCACATTAACTAGCTGCAAAAAAAAAAAGATGTAGCCTTTCATTTCTGAGGGTCTGCCATGGACAGCACTGCAGTCAGCAGCTTAGGGGTAAAACTGACTGGCTGGAATAACACCAGAGTGTCGCTACAATAAAATATGGACTCACTCCCACTGTCTCCTCATCCCTCCTTCCTCTCCAAGACAAGCCTACAAATAACAAATTGGTGGGATTTCAGAGAAAAGAATAACACTTCCATTTCCAGAGCAGAGAGAGGAAAATCTTTAATGTGCAGTGCAGAAAAGTGCAGAAAAAGTAGTGCAAAAATGCTTGTAGTGCAGAAAAAATGCTTGATGAATGTTGACCTCAGTGAACAATCTAGAAATTAAACAAGGGGTGTGACCTGCAGCTGCTGCCAAAATGAATCAAGAAAAGGTTTACAATCTGTTGAGGTGCATCTGTTATGCAAAATACAGAATTTATGTAAATACTGAAATTCAATACTAAGCCAAGCATATATTAAAACTTAAGGACAGCTTGAAAGTTTAAAAGTTTCCATTCTGAACTTTGGAAACCATTCTTATGAAGATCTACCCCAGATGTCAGTTTATCTCAAGAGTATCCATAATACTACAGAGTGTGAGCACAATTTCTGAACAAAGTTATCAATTTGTTTGGGATAGTGGTATCCTTGGAGAAAAGAAAGAATTTCATCAAATCCTATACAACATTTCTATTCACAACTTGTCCAAGCAAAAAAAGCCATAAATCAATTTGTGTTTATTTATTAACTCTAGCAATATGGGTGGTAAACACACATTAAAATAAAAAAAAAAAAAAAAAACAACAAACTTGCAAACCAAAACATTATAACTAGAGATTAATGAAATTTCTTGATAAATACAAAATTGACTGAAAAAATGAAATCTTGGACTTACTAAAACCCTTTGCAAACTCCAATCAGCTTCAGTGGGTAGCTTTGTTCCCAAAATGGGTGAGTGAACTACTTTGTCTTGAAGTGTAAATAAGTAAATAAATAAAAGTTTAAATTTCTTAAACCAGCATTACTTTTTTGAAAAAGAATTTCACTTTTTAAAAGATCTCTTGAAGCCAAAATGGAAATGCAGTTCTCTTGAACATACTAGGACAAAACAAAGTATTTCACGTTGCCCTGAAGGAAAACATCCTTATCCCTGCTGCTCCAGCACTGATCTACTCTCCAGGAGCACTCATAACATCAGCTATATCATTAAACAAACAGTGCAATTATTCAAAAACTTCCCCACACAGATGTGTTTTCTCCTTTACTTACAATTTTTGGCTCCTAAACACGTACGGATGTAGTCTTGACTGTCGTTGAACTTTGGAAAATAAATCCATTCCATGTAAAAATCCATTTAGTGAAAATCATCCTAGTGAATCTCCAGGATACAATATGGAGATGTTTTATGATTGCTTTTTATTATTCAATTCATTATCATAAGCTGGAAAAAATGAAATTTCCACACCAGCTGGGTCAGTATTTTAAACATCTGGATGACAATAAACAGAAAATTAAATCAGTCAGAAACTTTTTCTAGGTAGAATATAAAGGCAATCTATTTTGACCTGCAATAAATAGCACATTTTATTTCCCATTTTCCATTTTATTTCCTATTTGACAATCATTTTAGAAATTTCAGCTGCCAATGTTCCTGCAATTATTAAGCACACCCTAATAAAAAAAGTAATTCTGGGAAGAATATGTGATAATAATATTTAATAATTTCATTTGGTTCTTGTTTTAAGTGCAGACAGGTCTCCATGTTAAGCACAGACCACTTGACAAACTTCCATAATGCAGGCATCATTATATCACAATGCACTTTGGAAAACTGCCAGGCAGTGATGCATTTTGGACCACAAAATTAAAAATTCAATTAATTCAGCAAATGTGACTGCAGAATAAATCTTCTATGTGTGACATTAGAGCAAAGAGACTTTAGATTCCAGTTGCTCACATCCAAAAGTCCATGCACATCTCTTTTGGAGATAGATGCTTTTTAGTCCTTCCAACCTGTTAATGTAAATATCTACAGAAAGCAATTAAAAGATGCAAAGAATGTTTTCAAATTGTGAATTATATGGAGGGAAGATGTTAATATTTAATTGGGATTTAATTTCAATGGTTTCTTAAGCAATTAAATCTCATTAGGAAAATTATAATTATATAAAATTATATAACAGGTTAAGTAAATTTAGAAAATATAGACACTGGCTTGATTTGTATTAAAGACAAAGACAGAATGCTATTATTTTCTTCTGCAAGCATGATCTTCATTGTGAATATGACTCTTTCTAAGTCAAAGCCCTTTAGTTAGTGCTTCATGTTGGAAGATGATCACACACCAACATGAGCATGGCCAAAATTGCAAGGTTCTATTTAAATAAAGTTTCTAACCAAATAATTCTCAAACAACACCTACATGTTAACACTGGACTGGTAAAAGGATATGGATAATTTACAATTAAAAACAGTCCTTGAACCCAATACTGTGCAACATATTAAGCAATGTAATTATGCTGGAGAGAACAAACTGATAAGAAAATAAGGAGTGGTGAGATTTTTGACTGAGACAGAATATGGAACGACTATATATATATGTGTGTATATGTATGTGTGTGTGTATATATATATATATATACTGTATTTGTGAAGTATTCAACAATGGATTTTTTTTTTAAAAAAGAAAAAAAACTAGTCCTGCTACAGTCAATCAAATATAAGACAAATTCTTTGGAAAGCCTTCAGCTGCAGAAAAATAACATATCTCCATGGGAATTGCATGAATGTCCTATTCTTTATATTCTTAGATAAGACAAATTTGTTCTTAGGAGACAGAGAAAGGAAAAGCATTTAGATATTTATGCAGAGATAGAGTAAAAAAGTGAATACAAGAATACAAGAGCCACTGAGGCAGAGTAAGACACCTGAAGAATGAAACACCACAAAGGGGTGTTCAACATCATGTTAAGACCAAAAAGATAAGAAAGCAGTTCTCTATTACTCAATGGGAACTTACAAGTCAGTCTTACAATGTTAAATCCAGGGCAAATTCCCAAACATCTGGAGTGTGAGGGCCACTTGTGCATAGCTGAATGCTGAAACAGAGCCCAGGGCCACCTCCTGGCAACTCATGGAAGGGGTGCCATGTCAGTCTGGAGCAATGAGAATTCTGCTCCTGAGGGTTAGCTGGAGGGAAGCTTGGGGGCTGTGGAAGGGGCACGTGAGGAGTTGGGCTGGGAGGAGCACTGGGCTTGAGGGTTACAGAGTTCTGTCACAAGAAGAGATCTGAGAACCAGGCACATCACATAAGGTAATGCAAGTAGCTGGGGTTTGGTCCACAAGTAGGAAATACTAAGGTGACCACAGCAGGTACTGGTGAGATCTCTGAGACATGAGTAGTCTGTCATCATCTTCACTAAGTGCTGTTTCCTTGAACACCTCAGAACAGGCTCCTTCCAAGGGCCCTGCCTGCATTTTTCTGTCACCAGTGGCTCCAGAGGGGGAAGCCTGTGGATGCAGATCCGACTCTCCCCGCGTGCACATGAGCAGCCAGCTGGGTAAGTGAGGGTTTGCTCAGACATGTCACAGAGCTGCACATATTTTTTCAAAGTGTACAGCGGGCTTTGACAATCCAGGCCTTCACACAGAGTGGTTTAGTGAGGCTCCTCTCCCCCTCCTTCTCTATGCCCCCAGCCCTACATGAAAGCAAATGCAACATTCGGAACTAAGCTGGCTAAAAATGATTTGGTTCATTGCAACACTTCAAGAATATGTAAAAAAAACCCCATTCTGCTGCCTTGTGACACAACACAGCACGTCCCAGAGGTTGGTTTTAATGTATTTACTCTTCCAGAGCACCACGACTTTCAGTAAACGGGCAACATATGATGCAGTTCTGGTCTCATCACAACATGTTTAACATCTGGGAGAGCTGCCACTTGTGAAGCCAACCAGTGCTCTGCTGACAGACAAAGTGAGCATTATACTGAAATGCCATTCCTCAGCTGTTTGCAGAATTAATTTCCCTGTAGAATTTTCTAATTAGTTGGCCCTTTCCAGCCCGTTCCCCACAGAGGAAGCAGAAAGGAAGCAAAAGGCTAGCACCTGCTCCCAAAGCTCTGGCTGGGAAAAAAAAAAAATTAAGGATGACATATACAGTAAGTATTTAGGCACTAGAAAGCCTTCTATCCATGCAGCTGTGGGGATGAAGTAACTCTGTTTGAAAGCTTAATGGAGATTCTTCTGTGGGGAAGAATTTCCAGTGGCTCACATTCCAGACAGCTAACCACATTACCAAAGGGAAGAAAAAGGGATTTGTTCAAGCATTAAAAACTGTCTTAAAAAATACAAAAAAGAAAAAAAAAATCCCCCAATCTGTACAAAAACAGACAGATTAATCCAGACCTGAGGATGATTCTACAGTAGCCTGCTCCATTATCCTATGGGTTATTTTCAATAAGTCTTTTTTTTCCTATGATTTTGAATTCAAAGCTATGTTGGAATGCAGTGTATGATAGTATCTTAGAACCAACACGACAGAGTTTGTTCCTAACTGAAGTGAGTCATTGGAACAAAAGAAATAACATGGTTCTTTCTTTGAATTTACCTGCAGCTGGTCAACGTAAGGGAGAAAACATGAAAGGTATTTCATGAAAAATAAAAATAAAGAAAAAATGGTCCAAGAAAGGTAATTAGCATTTTTAGCTACTCAGCCACTTTGCCAAAACAATTTTTAAATACTGAATATAAAACAAGATGATGGTCAACTAAAGTTAGAATGCATGAAGGAAAAAAGCTCCCTTATGGAAATTAGGATAAGCCATTAGCACTTCAATAAACACTGTGTGTCCACAGTGACTTTACAAAATGGTAGACCTTGCAAAGAACTAAGATTTTAAAATAAGATCACAGATAAAATCCATTTAAATTAATTGGGTGTGTGTTTGGATCAGCACAAAGTGTGATGTAGTCCCAGAGATGAGTAAGTTACCCATTAGTAAAGCAGATGGTGTATTAAATGTGCCATTTTGTCTAATTTTTGTATAATTCCAAAGTTCCTGAAAGTTTTTTTTAATAGATTCAACATATGTGCCTAAGTGCATGTCTATATTTGGAGCAGGGGTATGTGGGATTGAAAGACTTCTTAATTAATAATTTATTAATTTCACAGAATCAAGAGACATGTTACATTTTCACAAACTCATAATTTTCCAGGACAATTTTAGATTAAAAAATGCAACAGGGAGTGCAAGTAGGAGGAAAGGTTCTGTTAAAACCAAAGGAAAAGAAGACATAAAGTTGCCTGCCTGAGACAAATACCCAGACCTTGTTCCCCACTCAGAGACAATTTTGAAAAAGTAGCAAAATAAGGAGTGGAATCATAAGGCAAGGCTATTCCTGCTTTTCACTGGCAATGTTGGCAATATTCTCTGCTGTTCTGGTTGCCTGTGGAAAATCCGTGTATGAATGAGTGGCATCCGTCCCTGTCATATGAGGTGGTGCTGACATGTCAATTCCAAATGGTTGCAATTACTTCAAGTGGACTTTCCCCCAAAGCCTACATTGGAGACGATAATTTCAAACTGCAGAAAACCCAAGTAAACAGCACTCATTTATTTTCCTCGGAAGTGGTGCAGCTAAATTAATCTGTGGCTTTGAAAATCTCCCATGGTACTTTAGTCTGGCCCATTAACTGCACCTGTTCTCTTTTTCTTTCTCTTTTTTTGGGTGGAACAGGGCCTGGGGGGGGAATTATTTCCCCTTCAATAGCAAGTGTCTGGCTTTTAAAGGATGCATAGGATATTTTATTTCATTACTGTCTAGGCATTTGAAAATGAAATAATAATCCAAAACCCCTCATCCCATTATTTTTCCCCTTTGAAATTAAAAGCAAATAATGCAAGGGAGAACGTGTCCTTGGAAAGGCAAATGGGTGATAACTCACAGAGAAACATAATATGAAAGAGTACATCTATTTTCCCCAAATAATGATCTAAATTAATCAATTTTATAGGTTTCTCTATATTACTCACTTAGACAAAAGTGATTTTTTTCAAAAGGAAAACATATCACTGAAATAATTTTGACATATTTCTGATTTGAGGGTAGACTTTCCACAAATATAAGCATATATAAGCTGCTACAGGCAGCTTCTCTCCAAGACCTTAATCATAGAACTGATTTAAATTTAATTTACTTGTGGCTCACTGAAACAGGCTTTATTTTTCCCTTAACAAGTAAAGTGCCAGTGAATAGCAATTTGAGTGTAAACAAGACATATTGTTCTCAGATTATTACAGGTCATAATATTTGACTTCAGCTGAATCTGAAGTCAAAAAAAGAGGCTAAGAAAACCTTGGTTTGCTGGAGGAAATAACCCCTGCTTATTTCCCACACTCTGAAATTAAAAAAATATTAAAACTAAATATAGTTGAGTCAGTGACCTTTAAAAAGTCTGTTGGGGATTTTATATTGGTTGTGTTCTGGTTTGCTTTTGATTAGTTTTGACTAGTTTATCTGCAAATCTAAAACACATGAAGAACCAAAGTCTGCAGAACGGAAAAGAGCGATTTTCTCTGGGAAGCCTCTAACCTGTTGTCAAGAAGAATTCTGCATTGTGGTGCAGCTGACTCAACTCGTTTCCCTCAGCTACCAAGAAAAGCAAAGAAAAGACAAGTTCTGTACCTTTCCAAAAATTTAGAAAAATATTGGATAAATGGCTGAAGAGGAATGTTTGACTCAAACCCCAGAACACTGATTCAGGAACCACCTTTTACTGGCTGCCATCTGAATGCCAACATTGATTTGTGCTACCTGTTTTTTAGGACACTGAAACCTCACCCATGCTGAAAGGCAAAGGCAGAAAATGTTGGTTTGCCTTTAGCTCTGACAAATATCTAACAGTGGTGAATGTGGGATGAGAATCCAAAAGCAATTTACATGGTGTGATGGCAGCTGGGTGACATCTTTCATAGATGTGGGATGACAGCTCCCTGTCCTTCTTCCCCCTTTCAGCTCCCCAACACACAGCAGGTCCTTCTCGCTCCCATTCTTCCTCGCTTGCTCCCTCTTTTGCCAGTCATCTGTTTCCCCACCCAGGTGGCTCACAGTGCCTTCCTTGACTGTGTTCATGTGGGCTGAGGTTGCCAAACAACTGGGGTGTGGCCAGATCCCAAATCCCAGGGCAGCCTCACTGACCACCCCTCTTTCCAGCACCAGGCATGGCAGCCCTGCAGAGGCTGGCAGGTTGCAACATGTGTATTAATATGGCTTTGCTTTCTCATATCCTTATCTCTAACAGCAAATCTGTGTAGCTCAGGATATGAACTGCAAATGAGAGATGAGGAACTGGTTAGTGCTTATCAGGAACGATGGAATTTGAGATCTGGAGATGAAGGGGGGTTGTTAGCTGTGTTTTTTTAATGAGAGGACTAGCTGATGTTTATCAGTTGACCCCTGCTTCAGGTAACGGAGCAGTTGGCAGGGAGCTATTCCTACTGATTAGATTGAGTGAGTTGGTATTCAGATTAACTTCTGATTTCCCTCGTATTATTTGTACAAACTCTTTATTGCTCTGGATAATTCTCCCCTTCCTGGTTTAGGAAGTGGAACTGACATCCTCCTGGAGCACTGCTACCAGCTCACCAGATTTTATTATGTGAGACGACACGATGGTCATAGATTAACTCAACCTCTTACTATTTTTCTGTATTAAAATTAGACCTCTGTGACATTTGCTTTGTTCTAACCAAACAAGGATAATGTACAGCTTTATCATCTAGGAAAGATTTATGGTACTGAGGTCCATCAGGATATTACTTTTAATCAACATTTCTGTGGCTAAAGCAACTGCTGTCTTCTTTCAGGATTGAATATTTGTGTAACCTGAGCGGCTTTCAATCCTTGCTTGTTCTGAGAGTCCCCAAAACCTTTCTGCTGTGGCTGGAAGGAATTATGATGTTCTTACCCTCCCTCTCCCCTGCTAAGTTCATTGCAGTATCTTTGGGTTTCTTTCCTCTCTGTTATTTGTCACTGCCTTGTCTCACTTCCTTGCCACAACAGATCTTTGAAGTGATCCATCAGAGGAGCAAATTCATAACCAGTTTTTCAAAAGTTCCCTTATTGGATTTACAAGCCTGACTCCAACAGACCTTGCAATCATAGGTGAGAGTCCAGGTAGAACAAGTAATAACTTCATGCATATGTACGTGAGGATTTCCACTACTCTAGCAAACACATTTTTCATGACATTTCCAACCTGGCTATCAAACCTCATCTTGCACATATCTGTAGAGAAAACCAGGTTTGTTTTCCATGAATGGGCTACATTATGGGGATTTTTTTTAATGTTATTCCATCTCCTACAGGCTTTTATCCAAACCAAGCAGCTAAAATAAAACATGGCTTCCTTCCCTGAGATGGTTTCATAGCCTAGCTCTCCAACTTTCTCCCGTACCACAAACATGCAACACAATTGTGCAACAGCCGAGGAAGGAATGGTGAGATCAGAGCCGTGACTGCAGACATCCTGACATGGGGATCTGGCAGTTATTCAACACAAACACAATTAGAGGACTTACCCTTGCGTGAAGTATTTGCTTTCTTGATAGTCACCAGCCTTAACCTCTAGGAATGCTTACGAATCAGATAGCGTTCCTTGAGGAGGGCGAGCCTTTTCAAGCTCCTCTGTCCTGCTTTAGCCAACACAGATACAAAGAAGAAAGAAATTCCTCCGCGTCCTCTAACTTCTCCCAGGGAAAGCCTTTAAGAAGCAGAGAAGAGTTGTGGTCTCAAAATCCCTGCCAAGGATTTGAGAACACAATATCATGCAGTGCTTGCTCCTCTTCTTACTATCAGCAGGAAAAAATAACACCACAAGAGACAAACTTTGAAATTCTCACCAAACATGAAAGTAGGAGGGTTTCCTGAGCCCCGCTCTTTGGCTTTGCATTGCAGTTGACTTGTCTGGCAGTGGTGATACCACAGAAGGATGGCAGAGATTGCATGGCTTGGAAGGCTCATGTGTGTGTATCTGCATAGCTATTTGTGAGCTGGATACAGAAAAAAGGTGCATTAACTTAGAAAATATAACCTACACAACTTACAAATCTTCAAGTCTTACAACACAGATATTTCAGTAGAATAATTCCAATCAGTGTAAACCCTGAGCTTTTCACAGAGTAACAGCATCTTCAAAATGGCAACAGCAGCTGAGCTCTAATGAAACATCTGCTAGCAAATTGGTCAAATGTCAGTCTGGCACAGCAGTTGCAAAGGGAAACTCTTGTTCCAAAATGCCCAATAATTTAAATTATTCTCATATCAAACTGCATCAGTGACACATGAGAACTGGGCCAAAGGAGGGCCCACTGGTGTAACCCCAGGAGTGTAACAGAGCAGTGCAGAGTGGAAGACCAGTGGGATTTCCTGATGAGGCAATGTGACATGACACAACGACCACAGCTACTGCAAGATACACAGGCTTAACTGGTATAACATAAAACAAAATAATAATAAAAGAAAGTGGCGGAGATAACTCCAACCCAGACACACTGAAGTGAGCTGAGAGGCTCTTACCTGTCTGAGCAAACCCACCACCCCACAGGACCACTTATCCAATACCAGCTGTAGGAGGAACAGTTGTGCAGTGTTGTGCCTTCCCAAGTGACCAGATGCACTTTTCCATCTTTAGCAGCTTCCACAAATATCAACAACCCAAAAGCCAGTGGAGATTGCCAAAATATCAGATATCTGAATCCAGTCAGAACGAGACACTCCCAAAAATATTTCCAACACTGTGAGATTCACACACACACACACACACACACCTCCCCAAATACCCAGGGGAAAATTTTTGCATGGGACCAAGGAGAAATGACAATAATGCCTCAGCCAGATATCAGTGGTCACAGAGTTCCAAGCTAAGGAGCTGATTTAGGCTATTTTGGTGCACACAAAACAACCTGGCCATGCTCATGGGACAGACTGCCCGAGCACAGTATTAAACTACTGTTAGTAAAGCAGTTGCATCAAGAGAGCAAATAAAGCAACTAAAACACATTTCTGGAGTAGCACTGTTGACATCTCCAGACCCACCCAGGCCAGGCATTCGTCCCAAAATAAAAAATTGGCAACCGGCTATGAATGGTTGCTGGTCTTGACTTTTTGTAACTCCACTAAAGAAGCACAATATAAATCTGCAACCCTGTATCCGGACAAGAATTGGAATACATCAAGAAAATGCTTGCAGTAATTCCAGATGAAAAAAAAAAAAAAAAAAAAAAAAAAAAAAAAAAAAAAAGAAAAGAAAAAGGGGAAAAAAAAGGGAAAAAAGGAGAGAGATTTCAAAATCTAAGAGTGCTTATAAACAAGGATGTTACTTTCCCCTTTCTTATCGAGAACCACCCTTAATTGAAAGGATCAGTATCTAAAGCAACTGGTGCTGCCCTGCACATGAATCCCCTTTGCACCTCTTCCCTCTTATTTCTTCAGTGGTTTTATTAACATTAGTGACTTATCTAAGTATTAGAATGCTTGGCTGCTTGGAAGCTTATCAACAGCAAATTTTATGGGCTGTTTAGTGATGGAAACAGGAGGAGATGGAGCTCTCCCCCCCCAGCTACCTCGATATGGAAGTCTTCAAGAAGCCATGGAATGTGCTCTCTGGTATTTTTGGTATCTTTAAAGTGTCAAGAGTGCAGAATTTCTCTTGTCAGTTGTCACAGTGTGACTCACAATTAGAGACATCTGCTCTGCATTCACCTCCCCAGGGGCACCGCTCGTTTTTCACCAGCTTCCTGTTGTTGACAGCACAGTTCCTCCCTGTATCACTCTCCACCAGCACCCATACTCCTCGCAGACATTGCAGCAGGCTTAAGCAGATTTCCCTTGGGAAAGCCCTTCCCCTTGTTTTGCTAGTGTTTGGAAAAAATATAGAATGTTGAGAATGCTCTGAAGGCAGACGCTGTGTTTCTAAAGGAACTGAACAAATTCCATTCTTTTTTTTTTTTCAGGAGGACCCTATTGTTTTTAGATGTCTTTCAAAAATCTCCACATTTTCTCTACATCCAATTTTCATTTCAAGCAAGAGAGCAGCTTGGAAAACGAAACATTATTTGTGCTGAGTCCTTGTCAGTAATTGGTGTAAATGAGTGACTAATACTACCAAAATATTATTCAATTAATTTTTCAAATATTGAAAATAATTTCAATTAAATTTCAGATGAGGAACACGCTGCCTGCCCTTCCTACTCCACCCAATTAAGAAAACAGTTGTTCTACATGTTTTTCACACCAAATCCTTAAGATGAGGTAGACTAACTATCCCCTAACAAGCACAGATCTGTGCTTTGTGCCTGGTTAATGTCTGGACAATACAGAAATACTAAACACCACCTAAGCAGAGATCTGTTGTGTGTTCTACCTATTTTGCCCCTGTGGACTGGAAATTTTATTTCTTAGGCTCTGACCAGCAGTAACAGATTTGAGATTCTACTTTCCCCAGGAACCCAACTTTCTCGAAAGGATCTCCAGTCCTGCAGGAGCATAAGATCTTAGATATTATCAGTTTCTTTAGTCCTTCTTCCTTGGTCTTGGTCCAGTGCTTCCCTGTTATGTCCCCTGCAGAAAGGTACAGATCAACAGAAAATTCCAATATTCAACACAACATAAAATACATCTTCCACTAAGATTATTAATTTTATGCACATAACACTTTTTCCTGACCCTTTAGGGCAGCTCCTGGGCCTGGTTCTTGACCTGACGCTGGTGGAAACCACTAATGTCCACGGTGCTCCCCCACTCCAAATAAAGTTGTAAATCATCTGTTTTGTTCCACATCCTGCCAATACATATTGCATAACTTCTTCTTTCTTTGTGATTTGCTGGGATCTTTCCAGAACTTGTGTTTGACTTCTCCCAGGAACAGACTCTTCCTTACATATTCACAGTGCCCCAAGCACAAGTTTAGCAGACTCCAGCTCATAATGCATCTGCACTCATTCAGTCACAACACGTCAATGCAATGCACAGAAGCCTTTCATTTGCCTTCTAAATCAGGACAGTGCAACAGCTGAAATATTTCTCACTGACCTTGGTCTTCAACACAAAACTAAACTGCTCTTTGCTATTTCAACATTCACTCCACCAGGATTATATTTAAGGTCAACACAATTTGGACCCTGGACCCAGACTGCTTAAATTATTCAAAAAATATGAACCCACGCCAGTTAAATGAAGAAAATATGCTCTAGAAAAGATAAAACACATCCTCTGTTTAAAAACACATTTCCAAAAAGCAACTCTAAACTCATAAAACTGTTATGAAATCCACAGCTCCTCCAAACATGAGGAGAACTCTCTGCAAGCTAGAATATTAACTCATATTTGTTGGGTAATCTAGTAAACCCAGATGGGGAGAAATTGGAAAGGGAAAAATGGATTCTTTCAGTGTTACTTCAGATTGTTCATCTATTACACAGCCCAGGCACGTATCTGCATTGAAGGCTTTCAATGTTTCACAGCTGAATTCTCACTTAAAACCTGCATTTGCTGAAGGCATGAAAACCTGGATTCAAAATAGTCTCTATAGGATCAATTGTGGAGCTGCCACTAAAAGGCCTTAAAATGCATTTGCCACTCTATAATTATTGTTCCACTAGACTGTAGAAAATTATTTTTACAGATTACAAACCCACTGGCTTAGCCACCTATTAAATACAATCTTCTTGGACCAAAGAGCTCTTTCTGATAAATGTTCTAAAAAGTCAATTACAATTCATGGTATTTTCCATTTACAAGGTATAGAGAACTGGATATGACAGCCTGCTCATCATACTTCATTCCTCTAATCTGTGTTTCTGTTTCCTGCACATTCTACCTGTAGCTTCAGTCCATTTTTGTACAGCATTTTCCCAGCATTTTAATGATGAAACCATAAGCAAAGATACACAGCTACATAGCTTATTCTTAGCAAATAAAGCTATGTGTTTGTATCCCAGGTCATACCTGCCAGAACTCACATGTTTTAAAAAGTAACATCCAGCCATAAAGACTAAAATGTACTTTGAAACTAAATTCAAATTAAATTTAATGGAAATCCACTCAATACTTTGCAGAAGAGCAAACTAGTAGCAAGGTGGATTGAAAAATCAAAATCATACTGAGGGACAGTATAATTCTTTTCAAGCAAAACTGTTTAATGTATAAAAATTATTGCAACTGAAGGAATCTGGTTTTGCACTGAAAACCTCAAGAGTTACATCACAGACAGGCCTGAGGCCTTGCATTTTAATTATTAATTTCATAAAAGATCCCAAGAGCAAGAGAGGTCATGAGAGCTGCTCCAATCCATGGGCAGTTAAGCAGGAGAATGCTTTGGTGCCCTTTAGCCTTTTAGTGTGCTGCAGGACAGGGGGGTTTGGTGCTAAACGACAAATTGAGTTAGAAATATTTAAGTCATAAACCATAGTAAATCTTTTAGCACTTGAAACACCATGAGACACTCCAAGCTGAGAGCAAATGAAGTGTTAGTCTATGCATGTTTAAAAATGCACAGAGGCTGTGTTTACTGAAGTATCCATTTCTTAACTATGTCTCCTTTAGGAAGCTGACATCCAACAGTTTCCCACCAAAAGAAGCAATTTATGAAAAGTGCCTCTATCATGGGTTAAGAAAAGAAAATAATATGCATCTCTCTGAAAGCAAAATTATGTAGGTTGCAAAGTCAAGGACAGCTAAATTAGGAAGTGGCAGATTTATGTGTGCCTGCATAACCTTTACTTGGCCCTCTTGTAGGTCCTGTGCCCTGAGTGAGACAAAGGTCCTGTGGAAAAAATAGTATGTGATTATGCAACTAAAGACTATATCTTAAAACAAAAAGCATCTGAATTAAGGTTCTGTTATCTTAAAACAAAAAGCATCTGAATTAAGGTTCTGTTGGCATCTGTGAATATAATATTTCCTAACATTTAAATTCTGGGCTTTGCAACCTCAGCACAGAATTTCTGTCAGATGATATCTTCACAAGGCCTTTATACATGGGTGCAAATTAATTCTAGCCAAATTACCAAGACTTTATTGCCACACAACAGTTTTCTCTATACCTTGAGTTGAAGAAAGAAGAATATCAGGAGTCATCTGTAAAATGATGCTCTTCCTGGAACAGGAAGAATAACTGTGGCCCTTGAGTGGAGTCAGCAGAAACTTCATATAAAATTG